GAGAAGGAATGCATCTAAAGTTGCAGATGGTAGCTCTGGAAAACTAGACTTGGGCAGCCCTAGCATAAATGTATAAAATACAATGTTAAAAATAAATTAAACACCTCATATTGTTAAATAACTGATTTTATGTATTGAAGTTTTAAATATTACATTTGAGTTTCCATGGATGTAAAATTACTGCTCAGTTTAAAAATTACAATATTTAAATCAGTGTTTAAATATTTAAAAGGTAAGAAAACAAATGATAAAAACAAGTCACATGGGCAGACATTATAGACTTTATGCAAAGATGTAGTCTCAGAGGTTATGGACCGGACGCTTTGGAGCGTCTGGTTAGGAAGCGCATTACAAACCTTTGGTTGAAATGTAGTTTGTAGTCAATTCATGCTCAAAACCTATTTTAAGTCAATCATCAGCCTATAAAATGCTGGGGGGCCACATGTTGCCCCCCCAGCATGTTTGAGCACGGTGCATGTGTCAAACATGGTGTAATGCATGTTTGACACATGTGCATTAGGCCATAGAACTGCCAATTGGTAATTGAAGTAAAGTAGCTTCGATTTCAAAGAAGNCATTGTGACCTGTGAGATGATTTTTTTATATTTCAGGAATGTAGGTCAGGCATATTTTTGTCACTTTTGCACAGTCTCCTCACATCTGCGCCGTTTGAAACACAGAGGCTGAACCTGCTGGCTCACAGCACATCCAGACATTAAATATGCATTTAAATGAAGAACACAGCTGAGAGGAAACTGGGGAGATTAGCTGAAAGCTGTGCATTATTCCTCACTGCTCCACTGTAGATATGGCAGCAAAGCCAGGCTCCAAACAGCCAATCAGAGCCAAGCTTTCACTCTTAAAGGTTTGGAAACATTCCTGATCCTGATGGTTTGGTTCAATTCAGGAAATGCTGAAGGATGAGGTGAGGACGCTCACCTACAGGAACTCCATGTATCACAACAAGCACATCTTCAAGGACAAAGTGGTTCTGGATGTGGGGAGTGGGACGGGGATCCTGTCCATGTTCGCCGCCAAGGCCGGAGCGAAGCACGTCTATGGGGTAAGAGGCGAGTTTCCAGCTCTGTTCAGATCATCCATCCATCCATCCATCCATCCATCCATCCATCCATCCATCCATCCATCCATCCATCCTCTAACACCCTTGTCCCTCAGTCGGGTCTGGACTGTTCAGATTAACAGCCAACAAAACATTTATAATTAAAAAAATTATTTCTACTTGGAAAATAATGTACGAGTTATTATAGTAGTAAAAGAAAATCAGAAACCATCAATCAGTTTGGTCATTCCTTTGGTGAACCAGCAGGAGGCGCTATAGAGTAAAATCCACGGTTTTCTGTCCTTCATGACAGCAGAGGAAGATCACAGATTATTTAAAGGATTTCCAGCCTTTATTTGTTTTATTTTGTGACTATGGCTTAGACCAGGGGTGTCAAACTCAATTTCACCGAGGGCCACTTCAGCATATTGGCCCCCCTCAACGGGCCACATTGACGGTACAAATCAGGAGTGCATCCCTGCTAAAACACCCCAGACAAAAGGTTGACTTCCCTCATTCAGTTCTGTAGAGGCTTATAATGACTCAATGGTCCAGGTGTGTTAGAGAAGGAATGCATCTAAAGCTGCAGATGGTAGCTCTGGAAAACTAGACTTGGGCAGCCCCAGCATAAATGTATAAAAATACAATGTTAAAAATAAATTAAACACCTCATATTGTTAAATAACGCTTTGGAGCTTCTGGTTAAGAAGCACATTCAAAACCTTTGGTTGAAATTGTGCGTTAAATTTCAAGTCTCCATTACAGACCAGAGAAAACTAAA